CGGTATATATATAATGATATTTTTTTTTGTCCGTTTAAAAAATGATTTTTTATATATATATATTTAGTGACAATTTAACTTAAATTTCTATTTTACTTTTAATAAAATAATTTATAATTACACAGATACTATAATTTGTTTGATACCATAAATTTCAAAACTCATTTTTACCTAATCAAATCCTAATGCCTATTTATCCGTCTTCATTGTGGCCCTAACCTTCTTAGGTAAGAAAACTACCACCATCAGCGATGAATTCTTTTTTCGTTCTTAAACTTCATGTGAAATCAAACATCTTTGTGTATACGAATGTAGGTGGTTTGAAGATTATAGATTGGACCAACTCGGACTTGGAGAACGATATATACATGCTAGTTACTTATTTGGTGTTACTATTATCCCCGAGCCTGAATTATCTGATGCTCGTCTCATGAACGCGAAATACGCCATGCTCCTGACTATTGTCGATGATCATTTCGAGAGTTTTGCATCTAAAGATGAATGTCTCAACATCATTGAATTAGTAGAAAGGTATTTCTTATAAACTTATAAGCTCGTCAAACTGACTTAGTTTGACTTATTAGCATTTTTAGAGCTTATTTATGTTTTTGGTAATTAATCTTATAAATTAAGTGTTAAATGATTATTATTTACAGGTGGGATGACTATGCAAGTGTAGGTTATAAATCTGAGAAGGTTAAAATTTTCTTTTCAACTTTTTACAAATCAATAGAGGAGCTTGCAACAATTGCTGAAATTAAACAAGGACGATCTGTCAAAAATCACCTTATTAATTTGGTAGGGGAATTATTCTCTGACTTCCTTCTTTAATTTTATTTTTTATACTTATTAGTGTATTTAAAAAAGAATATCTTTTTTTTCTAATTTGGCATGTCTTTAATTTTCACATTCAAAGATTATAATATTAAACAATATTTTGTTACATTAATCATATTTTTAAATTATGGTAACAAGAATCAAATTATTTTTTTATTTTCTTTTAAGTCTGTTTAAAAAATAATATCTTTTTTTTAATTTGGTACTATTTAACTTCAACATTCCATGTGACATATAATAAGCATATCTTTAATTTAACAGCACAAAAGTCAAAAAAACTTTTTTATTGTCTTAAATTTGTTAAGTTTTAAAATGTGTGAATGAAAAATATAGAGTTGCAACTTTTATAAATACTTGTGACTTTTATGAAAAATTATTTTTATGGAGGGTTGATTGTGACTTTTATTAAAGATTGTGACATTTTCAAAAGATTTTGATTTTTTCGAAGGTTTGTGACCTTTCTGGTAACGCATAATAAGAATCTTTTCACAATACCGTTTGTTGTCTATAAATACAGAGATTAAGAGACACAATTTTTAGACTTCTACCACTACTACTACTAAATATAGTATTTGAAGTGTACTTTTATGTAGTTGAGTAGCTCGTTGACACTGTGATTGTAGGTAACGACGCTACACCGGTGACACTGTGCATTCAGTGTGCTTGATTTTCTTCTTAAGAAAAATATTTTGTATGTTTCTGATTTTATTTTCTCTTCTAATTTTGAAAATACTCTTTAAATTATGTTGTTTCTTATCAAGTTTTTCAAAAAAATTGTTCTAAATATCTTAGAAATTCATGATAAACAACAAAATTATCTACCTAGTTAATTGAGACAAACAAATTGAATCAGAAAAACTATTTTCAAATTTATTTTCTCAAGCGTCGTGTCTTATCATCGTACAATTTTTGTAGTGGCTTGAAATGATGAAGTTGATGTTGATGGAACAAGTAGAGTGGTGTTCTGGCAAGACAATACCAAGCATAGAAGAGTATTTGTATGTTACTTCTATAACATTTTGTGCAAAATTGATTCCTCTCACAACACAATATTTTCTTGGAATAAAAATATCCAAAGATCTTTTAGAAAGTGATGAAATATGTGGCCTATGGAATTGTAGCGGTAGAGTGATGCGAATCCTTAATGATTTACAAGATTCCAAGGTAACAACTCTTCTATTCTTTTAATATTAATTTTCATCATGTGATATTGGATAAGCATCATCATATAATTATATTTACATAATAAAATAGAACTTATCAATTGTATATATAGGGTGTGTTGGGTATGAAAAATGCAATTTCTTATTTTTTATATTAAATATATAATATTATCCAAAAAATATTTGTATATAATTTAGATAAATTTGTTGGGGCCTGTAGGATGGTGGGGATGATGGTTAGAAGTGGAGTAAAGACAACGAGATTGTTGGAGGATAGAAAAGAGACAATTAATGAAGGGAAAAGGGTCTGATATACCTTTCAACTTTGCCATTTGGAGCTGATATATCCCTCGTTATGAAAGTGGCTTATATATGCCCTTACCGTTATACAAACGGCTCACATATACCCCTGTCGTTACAAAATGGCTCATATATACCATTCATTTAACGAAGTTAAGAAAATTAGTTGTAAATTTATATTTATTACTTTTATTTTTAAAAAAAATTTATTTAGGGGTATATATGATTCTTCTATCAAAGTTCAAGGTATATTTTAATTTTTTTCATACATAAATTATTTTTTGACCTCTTTTATTATAATTATTTGAGTTTCTTATTCTTATTCTATTTTTTTTCTTTTCCTTAGTTTAAAGAAAAAAATTTAAACTATTTTTTGTCCATATTGTAATTTGATTTTTGTATTCGAAGAAAAAAATTTGGTCATCTACAACAAGTTTTACAAGAATATTAGTGTAACATAAATAAATTTTATTATCAAAATAATAATTCTAAATTAGTCATTGAAACAAAAAAAGTCAAAAGAATATGTTTGACGAAGATTGAATTTACTGGGATTATATTTTTGTAAAAAAAAAAAGTTAGATTAAAATTATATTTTTTTTCATTTCCGTTAGAGGAAAAGGGTATATGTGAGCCATTTGTTTACAAGTAGGGGTATATATGAGCCACTTCCATAACAAGGGGTATATCAACTCTAAATGACAAAGTTGAAGGGTATATCAAACCCTTCTCCCATTAATCAATGTAAAATATCACTTGTAAAAACATATTTTTCGAAAGTCACTTGTAAAAACAATCAACTTGTGTCAATCATACCTATGGTACAAAATACTGAGTGATCAGATGCTAATTTAGAATTTTTAAATTTATAGATTCTGAAGTCCTGTTTTTATTAAATTCTGAATAAATTATTTATACTATTATTATAAAGACATAAATTGAACCCAAACTATTGAACTTTACCATTATTGTACATGTCTTTTTTAGTACTCCACATATATATTAATATTGGTGGATTGTTTAATTCCCACATGTTTTGCTACAGAAAGAACAAAAGGAGGGCTCAATAACTTTAGTCACATTACTAATGAAAAGTATGTCTGAGGAAGAAGCTGTAATGAAGACAAAGGAAATCTTGGAAATGAATAGAAGAGAGTTATTGAAAATGGTTTTAGTTCAAAAAAAGGGAAGCCAATTGCCTCAATTATGCAAAGATATATTTTGGAGGTCAAGCAAATGGGCTCATTTCACTTATTCACAAACTGATGGATATAGAATTCCAGAGGAAATGAAGAATCACATTGATGAAGTCTTTTACAAACCACTCAATCATTAATCCCTCATTTTGAATTTACGACTTTTGTTCTTTCCTTCTATTCCAACTAATAAACTTGTTCGAGCGAATTCAGATAATAAAAAATCTCTATAAACCTGTGGTTTACTCTTTTATCTAATACCTTAATATTATAAAAAATATATTTTTCTCTTTATTTTTTGTTCAAAAAGATAATACAAACGTATACGAGTCTATCTTTAATTTTGAAAACGAAACCCCTAGCTTTGCTTTTCTTGCGGTTCAAGCCTATATGTAGTAAGTTGATGATAATTTCTAGTAAGTCTGTACTACTTCATATCTCACGATCATATGTAAATTCATAATTAAAAATTAATAAATTCTTCAACTACAAATCAATGGCTTATACAAGAGGTCTTTATTCCTTCACTCTTCTTACATTCTTCTCATGACAAAAATTTTAAATGCCTTGAACTTTTCAATACACCAATTTTTTATTTTTTATTTGCTTATTCACTTACAAGTCTTATTCTTTGTCCAACAACCCATGAAAATTTTTACCTTGTCCTTTAAACCATAACATTATGTGAAACTCCCCTTGGGTATTAACAATCAAATGTAACCAAATTTTACTACTTGAAATTTTTAAGTCCTTCCAAATGCTTCATACTCAATGCGATTGATTATTTCTCACCTTACCAATTCATACATTGACAAAACACACTACCAAAAACCTAAACTCACCACGAAAAACTTCAATTTGAATCCAGTTGTGTAACTCAATATCCATCACTATTAGCTCATACCTTTAAGATTTTTATGAATTCACGTATCTTAGTTTATCATTGATCGCCTCTCCATTGATCTTATCATATCTTTCGCTAAAAATTCAATCATACTCATTACGAAACTCAAAGCCACGAATAAACTTATCATCACACTCAAGTTGAACGTCTATACACTCATTTCTCAAATCTTATTCGATTTTTTTCGACCAATCTTGATAAATCTGTGACACTATTACCATGACCAATGTAAAACGGAGGAAATCATGTGTCTCTAAATCCAATTCTCAACCCATGTGAATATACCTCTTTAGCCCTTGCAATCAAAGAAAATATTCTTACACTCACCTCTTTTCGAAGGCTACACTATATTAGCTAATTTTTTTATTCTTTTCATTATGACTCTAGCTCCTTTAAATTCTATTCGAGCAGTGTTTCAACACCTCCTATAACTTTACTTGCAACCAGGCTACTCATCAAACTATAGCAAACCATAACATTATATACTCGCAAGTTGTCATTACTATACAAAAATCCATTTAACAAATTATCTTTGTCATATAGCTCATCCCAATCTCAATCCATCACAAACTCTTACTATCATTATGCTCGTTTAGCCCTTGCCATCACCATAAAGTAATCTTTGTCATTGCCATGACATCTCAAAACCAACTTTACCAATAAAATTCACAAGACTAACCCAATATCATATGCACTTTTTAGTAAGATTTTCAATTTCCTTCGCACAAGTATACTCTCTGGGACTTCATTTACCCATAAGCTTGCCATTATGGTATCTATCCATTTCCTTGGACCTTAAGATGAAATTATTGATCCTCATTTAGAACCCTCTAGATACACTTCTCAACTCAACACATTAATATCGTACTGAAGATTCACCACTAAATGCTTCCTTATAAATTACGCTTAGCTCAAGCATCCGTAGTAACAAACTAGTTGGTTTCTCAAACCTTGAATTCAACACCAAATCTAATTATCTAAACATATGATACAACTAATAACTCTTTAGGTATTTATTATTCACACTTAAAAATCAACTTATCCATTTTCATATACCACTAGTGCCATGTTGTGAAGTCTGTTAAATCCACCACTAAAACACATCATACCTATCTAGAAGATCGTATCAAAATACCTCATACATATTATGACAACTTTGCTAACTGTGTTTTCTCAATTTACATTGTTCATTATCTTGCAATCATTTTAATTCATCCACTTTCAATTATCGAACTACATTCTTTTCATAAGTATATCACGTTCACCTTAGTATTAGGTCTAACATTCAAGTTATACACAACACACTAACTACTCACATGAGAAACTATGCACAAATCATCACATAAATGAGAGTGAATGGAGTGAAGCGATGATAGTCAAAACTAAACCAAGTAAGCACGATTGAGATTCAAGAAGTGAAGATTTTTCTTATAAGTCACTATAGCCTCTCAAAGATAAGTGCAAACGTCTCCGTACAGATCCTCAAGACTCTAGTTAGACTCGTCTTGTACACACGTGAGACCTATGAACCTGAGGCTCTGATACCATTTTGTCACGACCCAAAAATGGACGTGATGACACTCGTCTTATCCCACCAAGACAAGTTAGCCTAAAACTCAACCATTACAATAAAGTGCGGAAATAAAATATAAGTAACTTAATAAAACCCCCAAAATCTGGTAGTCACGTGTACAAGCCTCTAAAGTATTACAATTGATTCAAAAGAAAGCTCAAGTCTCAAATGAACTTGTTTCTAGAATAGAACAAAATCATAATTATGGAGAAGAAAGTCTGGTGACATGGAAACAACTACCTCACAAATCTCCAAGAAGCCTCGAAAAAGAAGAGAATGACAAGTACAACAAAAAATCCAGGCTCATAACCTACAAAAATTTATAGAAGTAAGGGGTGAGTACCAAATCACACTGTACTCAGCAAGTAAACCTCTAAACACAAGCTAAGGGGATGAAATACAGGTACTCCTACCACCCCCCAAACGAACCTCCACAACTACATCCTGCAGTAAAATCAACCCAACCTAACAGCTCACAGTTTACATAGCACGTAGTTCAACAACAACACTTAGACAAATTACATATCCTCAACAACAACACTTTAACAAATTGCATATCCGCAATAACAAGCTCAATATCGATCAATCATAAGTTCCGCAGAAAGGCAATCAGAAGATCAGCAAAACACGATATCAAGTTCACTAATGATAAGTATGTGCAATGCAATGGAATGCAGTGTCAAGTATAATGATGCATGTCTGACTTAGTGATACACACCCGCTGTCTCTCAGTCTGGGACCCATGGGGACATATCTGTGTATGCATCTGTCGCGGCGCATGACACGACCCTTGATAACAGAAACCATCGCGGCGCGCGATACGTCCCTCAAAATACAGTATCCATCGCGGCGCGCGATACGTCCCTCGAAATGGTACATCCTCTTAAGTACTCATTCTTTCTCAATGCACATAACACTTGTCACAACCAATGCCTCAGAATAATGCGGATGACAAATTCACACAAATAATGAGGAGATGACCATTTTCATGACATCGCATAGTTCACAACCACACAAACATGAAGTCACATCAACAATGATTCAACAAGCCTTCAACCCTTTCTCAACAAAATCTCACATAAACAATTAATCACATTGTCGTTTGTTATCCCCTTTTTTTCATCATTATAATTAATCAATGTGGACAAGTCAACCCATCACCAATTCCATTACTCTCAAACATATACCACAAGGAAATACACGCATTTCATACACTTAACAAGAGTTTAGAAATCCACTTGCCTCAAATAGTCGAACAATCACTCCGTGACTTGAGTCTTCCTTTTTTCGTTGGACTTCCAACTCAAAGCAATCTATTCATATTATTAGTCATAATAAGATTTCGAACCCAACAAAACTCAAATTACTATAGGTCTAGTCTAAACAGAAAAACTCACTCAGATATGTAATCAAGCTCGTAATATTGATGTCAATTAGGATGTCAATCCTCATATTTTCCAAATTTCAAGTCTAGGGTTACGTTTCCCTTCTCCTATATCATAAATCTAATGACATTCATATAATACAATGCCCTTAATATTTAATTACCTATCTCATTATAACAAAACTTGAATTATTACTTGATAACTATAAGAAAATTGTGAAACTAAACCAAACCCATAACCATTATGCATACTTATGGCATATAAAGCTTTAATTTTGGTAAGGATATCACATTATTCACTATGTGCAATCACAACAATAACTCCTTAGGAACATACATATAATAAAGTAAAAGCTTGAATTATTCCTGTATTTCAATCCAAAATTATAACTTCCTTATTCCTCACCCACTAAACGCCTTAGTTATACATTAATCCACAAATTAAAAAAAAATACAATCTTAACCAAATTTAAAATCAATTGATAAAGCACTTTACAATTTAACCCTTTGGTGTTAATGATTTCATAAATAATTGTACAAAACAATTCAATCCAGTTATAGAAGATCGATTTTCTTACCTGATTTAAACACATGGTTCCTCTTTAACGATGCAATGTTGCCTCTCTTCTTCTTCCGTTTTTTTCTCTTGTTACACTGCGTGATATGTTCTTTTTATAAAAAAAAATTTATGCGTGACTGCTGTTGCCAACAACAACAACAGCTTTAACCCTTTTTTTCCCTTTTCAATTGGGCTTAGCCCTTTGTTTTTTTAATTAGTTATTATTATTTTATTATTATTATTATTATTATTATTATATTTTTCTTAAAATTAAGTACATTTATTTTTCTTCTATTATTTCGTAAAACTTAATTAACTATTAATTTATTTTAAAATTTATAGCACTCATTTTTATAAGTCATAAATTATTTATAAAAACTATTAAAATAATTAAGTTTAGATAAATGAGTAAAATTCATAAAACGACTAAGGGGGTCGTTATAACCTATTATTACTTAATGGTCGAAAATATCTTTTTCATAATAAATATATTATTTCTTTTCTTGTTAAATACATTTTATTCCTAATAAAAATTTACTCAGTAAGAATTTTTATTCTTGTTTGTTTTTTCCTTTAGATTTACTCCAACTAAGAAATAAGGAGGCATTTTACTTCTTATTCTCATTTTATCAATCAAAATAGAATACTAAATGTACCTTTGTTTGATTGATAAAATGGATTTTATATTAAAATATCATAATAATCTCATCATTAATTTTGTTTCTATAACAATTTAAAACACTAACAAAATAGAATGTATTTGTATTTTTTAATCTTTTTCGAATAGAAGAAGGATAAGTATTTGCTAATAGAAGAATTATTATTACCAAAAAAATGTGTTTAAAACTAAACAAATACAATATACTTATTTGGGAAAATGACATTTTTGACTCATTACGTAATAATAGGAGTGTTTTAGATTAACTATTGACGAAAATATTTTTAGATCAAAATATTAATCAAAAATATTTTTATTTAATTAATTTACATTATATAAGGAAATTTTTTAGCCTTTTCCTATATTTTAATTTAGACAATTCAGTACCTCGAAAACTCATCATAGAGTTCTTCGAACATTTGCAACAAGAAATCAACCTCCTCCTGCACCAAAATAAATGGTTATATATACTTGAGCAAAAGAAACACAAATAGAAATTCAATAAATTATATTCATTCGTCTCAACTTATTTGTTCTATTTTTTGTTTTAGTTCATTTCAAAAGGAATGAATTTTTTCCTCTTTTAGTGAATCGTTAATTCAAACTTCGCATCTTAAGAATCATAAAATTAAAAGATACTTAGATGTATTTGACATATCTTTAATTTAAGTTTTAATAAAATTTAAAGTCTTCATTACTTGTTAAACTTCTTAATTCAAATTAAAACAAAACAAACAAATTACATTTCTCTCGGAGCTAAAAAAGATTTACATTTTTCACCCCATACATCAAAATACTTAAGCCACGTTTAGTATAAAAATCTGACTCTCTCTATATATATGAAATAATTGTACTTGTAGAAATATAATACTCCCTCCGTCTCATTTTTTATGGTATCATTCAAATTTTAAGAGTTCTGTAATTGGGATTTTAGGAGGTAAAAAATGTTCGTTTAAAAAAAAAGTGCTTGATCAAAACTTTTAAGCTAGGGATCGAGTTGCATAAGCTATTGAGTAGCTAAAAAAAGTAGTGTTTCTCCAAAAATATTTTTGAGAAGAAATGTACTTGAAAGCGCTTTTTATAAGTTCAGTAAAACAGGATGGTAGTTTAAATAGTTAATAGTGTGATCATATTTTTCACAAACTTTAATAATTTTAGTAGCCAGGTAAAAGAGAATATGTCAAAATTACTATGCAAAACAAGATTTATCGAAAAATAAATTATATAGCTAAATAATGAAATTTATTGTTAATCCTATTTACGATGAATTAGCTATGAATTTTATGTTAAGTACGAGCAAGTTATTGATAAAGTTCCTAGCTAAATCCACTTTATTTAAACTATACATATCTTAAAAGAACAAGTCATAATTTTTTTAAAAACATGAAGAACATGCAGGAAAATATCTGAGTCTGAAAATTAAAATACGATTATGAACACCACATAAATTGGGACAGAGAGTGTAAAATGAA